TCCATATACAATAAAAAAATACAAATCACAAACAAAACAAAAGGCAGCAGAAAAGAAAAAGAATAAAATTGAGCATTTTGTGCAACAAAACGAGCAAAATATTTCTTATTTCAAAGAACTGCGAGATTTTTATAGGGATTTTTAAGCATTGCTTAAAACAAATAAAAACTTCTGGTAAAAACAAAAGAATTTTCAGTTTCTTCTGGTTTAATTCAAACTCTAAGCTATGCTTGTTTTGGGTAAAGGTCATTCCTGGTTCTTTATAAATAACATACAATCAATTTTGACCCYGCATGTAACTGAGGGATTCACCGAGCAACATTCATGACAATAAATACAACACTGGTTCAGATTTTTGAGGTAAAATCTATCTTTTTTGTTGTAACTGTGAGACGTTTTCTCTCTTAAAGTCACTTAGTGAATACTGAGCACAAACATAACTGTGTTTCTTTCCGACTGAGCTGAATGTCTGATTAATTGCCATCTTTGTTTTTTTCTGTCTCTTCCATCTATCATAATCATAAGCCTCCCTTGAATTTGACACRGAGGTTAAATGACTCCCACAGCTGAAGAAGACTCATAATTAACTTATTAATTCTTGGGTAACAGTGATAGGATGAAGAAAAACACGTTGTGTACAAAATGTTTCATGCTTCTAACTTCAGCTCAAACATCTCAGAGACACAGAAGCATCAAGCTGTCTGCTGTTTGAGATGCTAGGATGAGTCACTGCAAAGGATGATGCAGTTAATAAGACACTAAAGAAGAAGACTTTATATTAGGAATAAGAACGTTTAAAAATAGCCTGTGAGGAATTCTTATCTCTTCCTTCTAAAAGTGCATTCATCCTGCTCTGACTAAAGCTGACAGCTTCTTTGTTGCAGTGTAACTTTATTCACACGGAGCATCACTGTACCACTGAAGGAACAATAGAAAGTGGCTTCTCATCATTTATTTCTGGGCTAAAAGGAGGAAAATAATGATGTGAAAAATAGAACAGAAGCCACAGAAGCAGAGAGCAGCGAGGCTTCAGCAGCCGTGTGTTTCTCTCCCTTCACAGACTCTTTTAGTTCCCAGAAGTTCAAGCGCACTCTGAAAATGTCACCGGGACCGAGCAGAGTTTACTCAGAACGATTTTAATCTGTCGTGGGCTATTTTAGGCTTTTTTCTCGTCGAAGATCCAGCAGCGCTCGGATTAGCTGGATTCTCTGCGACGTGAGGAAATTCCCTCGGCTCAGTTTTATTCAAAAGTTCCTCTTTTTTCCTCCCCTGCCCAGAAACCGCCCTCAGCTCACCCTGCAAAGCCATATTTATGAGAATCAGCAGGGAATCCTGGAATCCTGACACCTCGCTCTGCAGAATGTGACTTCCCTCAGAACGCTCAGGCTCACATCGGGGTGTCCATCCTGTTTCTTTCCTCCGTGCTTGTGGGAGCATTTGATCTGGCATTAAAGCAACTGGAAATACATTTAGAACAGGTTTACTGTGCTGACAGGATTTAACGCTGCTCCTTACTTACAAACTGAAAGTTTCCAAACTATAAAACTCCTGTGATACTAAACCAGGCATCAGAGGGAGAAACAGACTCTGTGGGTGTGGAAGAATTACTGAGGGTCTGATAGAACCTTATCTGTTTGTTCTGCTTATCTGTGGGTCAGCTTCTTGTTTGAAGCTTGTTTGAACACAAATCTGCAAGTTCTACTGAAAAGAAACAATCAGTGCAACAGAAAATCAGAGGAAGTTGGCTGCCTAAAGGAATCACGTCTGGTCTCCATTGGCTTTTAAAATAAGTTTTATGGTAACTGATAAAAACAGGAGAAACCAAAAGTCATGATTTTCCTCATAACTGAGGGCATTTTGCATGAATTTTAGCCTAACATACAGGTTTTTGGTCTGTAGGAGAAAATCAAAGTACATGGATGGATGGATGGATGGAAGAAAAATATTAGTCTGCTTCTTAACATTAACTATTTAATCCAAATAATTCAGGAAAATGTTCATAACATCACTATAAAAAAGCATTGCATTCACCGAAAACAAAAATAGACAATTATGAGATCGGGATCTGRTATAACACGTTATCTCGTAATTATGACATCATACTATGACATCATATCTCATAATTATGAAATCTTTTCTTGTAATTATGTAATTATTTTATCTTGTATTATAAGACATGTCATTCATCTTGGAATTATGACATCATCATAACTGACATCATATCTAATAAGACATCTTATCTCATAATTACAATTACTATTATGTTATCATATTATGACATCACCTTATTTTGTAATTGTGACATATTTTCTCATAATTATGAGATTCTATTCTGTGGTTATGAGATTTTATCTCATTATTATGTCATCATCATAATTATGACACCATCATAATTATGACATCATTGTAATTATGACATCGTATCTCATAATATAGGCATATCTTGTAATTATGGCATCTCGTCTTGTAATTGTGACGTGTGTTCTTGTAGTTATGTCACCTTATCTCATAATAATTACATCTTTCCCATAATTATTACATCATAGCTTATAATAATGACATATCTCGTAATTTTGACATCTCATCTCGTAATTATCTCATCTCATAATTATGATATTATAACTCATAATAATAATCATGTCTCACAATTATGACATCTCGTAAGTATTACATCTTATCTTGTAATTGACATCTTATCTCTTAATTATGACATCATCAAAATTATAACATCATATCTCATAATAATGGCAAATCTCAGAATTATGACATATTTTCTCATAATTATGAAATTMTATTCTGYAATTATGAGATTTTATCTCATAATTATGWCATCATCATAATTATAACATCATATCTCATAAWATAGGCATATCTCATAATTATGACATATTTTCTTGTAATTATGACATCCTATCGGACATAAGGTGTTTTTTTGCTCTTTCATACRTACTGTAACCTTCTCTGCACAGACTGTTTCATTTTCTGTACAGTTTAAACACAACGTCTCTAAACAAAATGTTTACTGAAGCTCAAACATGAGTGCAGCTTGCATAATGCAGGCACTGCTTGTTTTCTAGACTCGAACACGTTTTCAGTCRCTTTGAGCCTTTGGCAGGCTGAATGTGTGCACGAAGCACTCCAGATCTAGATTTTGATCCAGATAAACAACACGGTTCACAGAGCAGCCTCAGCCTCTTTGTTCCTCTCTGCAGCCGTCAGCAGCAGGTTCAAGTGTTCAGGCAGCAGGTCGGCTCTTTCCCTGCTTCATGCATTATTAACGAGGAGTCAAAGGCTCCCGATGACTGTGATAATTTGTGCAGGATGAGCTGACCCCTGCAGACCAGCACTGGTAAAAAAACAAATCTACCATAAACACTGAATTAATCAGTTATTATCAGTTTTCACTCGTTTCTAAACGATGTCTGTCGACTCACCCCTGGGCTGTCCTCCTGTCTGTACTGTTTCCAGTTGTGGCCCGTGTCGCTGAACACCAGCAGGTAGGACGTCAGCCAATCAGAGCTGCCGTAGCGCCCCTGCGTGGCCACGGCGGTRATCCTGGTCCGCTCGCCCAGGTCCACCTGCAGCCACTGATACCTGTCTGAGGTGAGGGGGGACCAGCCTCCWGCTCCTGCACACAGAAAAYCACCTTTAAAACAAAAGACTGTTTTTGTCTCAGATTAAGAGAGAAACAAATAATTTTACTTGATTTTGATCAAAAGAATCCCAAACGAACGACGGCAGGCAGAAGTAAAAACCTCTGCCGGCGCTTCAGGCTGATCTTTCAGGAGCTAAAGGCCAGAGCTAATGAGCACTTGACTACAAGACGTGTCCGGTGACAGCAGAGAGGAAAATCACAGACAAGCTGACCTTTCCTCGTGACAATTAGACTGTGGAGAAAAGGAGRGCGAGACGAGAGGCAAACGTCTCGGTGAATAAGATTTACAGAGTCACAGAAACAGAAATAAAGTAATGAGTGAAGATCTGAACGTTTTATGGTTGTCCCTTTAAATCAGATGTGTCTCCACGACTTCTGTAAAACTGAAAAACAACTTTAAAAATAGTTACATCCAATGACAGATGTTTTGTTTTTAACCCTTTGTACGGTAATGTGCTTAAATTCTTATGGATTTTTTTTCTGTTTTTGGATTCTTGACCTTGAAGCAACACAGACCTGCTTCATTGCATGCTAAATATTTCYACTAAAAGTCTGCTCTTTTTGAATGAGGAGGACATTTTGATTTCAAAAAGGCCCTGTCACTAGACAGCTTCTGAAAATTGTATATATTTTTTAAAATTGATATTATCAAATATATAACTTTAATAATTTAGATATAAAAAAATCATAAGTTGGTATAAGTTGTCTAAAACGTTTTAGTGTAACAGGGCCTTAGGAGAGAAAAAATAGAAGAGCGAGCTGTCCAAATGRTGCCAGAACAAATAAGCATCAATTTTAAAAAGGTCCGAAATCTATAAAAGCTGTGGAGATTCCTGCTATTTGCAAGTGGAGGAGTTTAAATGTCTCAGGGTTTTGTTCTCCAGGGAGGGAGGAAGTGTTGCAGACTCTGTGGGTTCGATGGGTTGGAGGAGGCGGAGCCTGTAAAGGCCTGAACACACTCCTTCCGAAGCCGAACAGTTGATGCGCGGTCACGTGGTTGTTCGGTGTTCTCAGACACACCGTGTTGAGCTCCTGGGAAACCCCTCCCCCGTTCAGCATACATCACTGCACGGGGTTTCTTCCTGCTGGAATCTACAATGCAGAAATTAAATCCGAGACTGATTACCCAACATTGTGCACCAATCGATCGCGGTTTAAGCTCCACAGCTTTTATCAAGTGAGTGGTTGGTGCAAAATGCAACGTCTGASMGCTTTYAGCAGAAACACTCCCACCTTTACCTGTTGGTCTGAGTTCATACCCTCACCTGGAGCCATAAATGGAAGGTCGTGACCAAAAGAACAAGGTTGTATGAAAGAGGTTTAGGGTTACTGGAAAAAAAAGTTCTGACTTTAATTTCAGAGTTCTAACTTTTTTCTCAGAATTCTGACGTTTATCTCCAAATTCTGAGGAAAAAAAATAATCAAAATATTGAATTTTTTCTCAGAATTAGGAAAAAGTTAGATTTCTGAGATCAAAGTCAGAATTTTTTGTTCGTTCGTTCGTTTTATCCAATAACCCTAATCCCTTTTGTAAGATTGGCTCCAAAGTATGAAACTAATGAGATTAAATCAAATTTTAATCAACAAGTGTGATCTTTGCTTTGCTGTGGAGGCCACATTTAATTAGGTTTGTAGACGTACACTCAGTAAGTACTTTCTAACATTCATTAAACTATGTTCAGTGGTTATTTTACTGACATGGCACAGAAATGAACACAACCACACAAACATTATCACTCTGTTTTCAGTCTTGAGTGATAAAAAATATCCGATTTTAACCCACAACTCAAAAAATGAACATTTGGAAAGCATCTTCTAGATGTTTTATTAACTTATTCTCAATCCATATAAACTAAATGTAAAATAGCAACATATCACCAGGTTGTTGTTATACAGTATATACTGTATATATA